ATTCCACAGGTACCTTTTTTCCTTCCACATCAGAAACATTGGTGTTTACAATCTTAAGAAACAGCTCCCTCCTTTTTTTTAGTTCAAGCAACACAATGACCACAGCCTCTGAGTAAGCAGCATCCTGTAATCAAAAGTTTTAATCATGTAATTCTACACAGATCTGGGAACTTCAGCACCCACCAATGAACACAATATTTGTGAATCCTGAATGGTAAACTCCTGCAGCACAGAAATAAATACCTTATGTGATGTTCACTGACATTCATTTCCTCATCTCCTCTTCACAGACCAAAAACTGAGAGTACTTGCTACTATACTGTGAAGTTTCTGTGTTTTTCTGCTGTTATCCAGAATAAAAATAACTTTGCTTTATATTAAAAAGTGTCTACAACATTCCTATCAAAGCCACGTATGTAGGCACAGTTTAAGATGAAAAAAGAGCACACAAAAATGAAAAAATTACACAGTAAGTTAGATTTTATACATATCAAATACCAGATTACAATAGCGATCCCCCATGCTCACATTACCATATAATTGTTCTACTTCAGCACTGTCAGCCTTAGGGGAACATGTAACATCAATCCCTACAATTCCATGCATCTTTGCAGTAAGTGCCTATTTTTTCAACACTATAAAACAGTCACAGGGTGCATGTGCTACTTCTTCTTTCAAGAATAGTAAATATCACTGTTAGAAATAGTAAATATCTCCATGTTCCCATTTGGCAAGAGGAGGCTTCCCTTACAGCAAACAAGATTATTTAGTAGCTGAATTGGCTTTACTGCAAATGCTAGTTATGCTGCCTAGCAGATTTTATTTGCCAGCGCACACAGTAAGGCAACTGAACCTTTACTCACTGTTAACACAAACTCAGGATGGTTTAGATGAACAGACCATCCCCACTATGCAGTGAACAACTAAGAAAGAGGCTTGCTACCCCTCACTGGGCAAATCCTAAATTCACTTAGAAATATTAGTGAAACTTCAAAGGTGGTGTAAAGCACTGTGGAAGTTGCATATGACGTATGGTCAGGTTGTGGTTGGACTTGGTGGTCTTTAAGGTCTTCTCCAACCTGAGCAATACTACCACCAAAAAAAGGGCTATTTTGCTTTGCTGCCTCTCATATTTTGGTTCTTTATCACATCTACACTGTGCAGATCTATGTAGAAACTAGAAATGTAGTGTGTTAAGAAGTATACAGAGGGAGAAAAAAAAAAAAGAAGCCTACAGAGTACCTTCACAGACCTCAAAAGGAAAGAGCACAGCAGGTCAACAGGTAAGGCAGAGTACTTGCAATACATTTAAACAGATTGACCAGTTTTTCCTTATCACAAATTCATTTCTATTTACATGTACTAAATGTCTTTATCACATTCTATTTAAAAGTGGCTAAAAGCAAACAAAGGTTCCTTCATACACTTACTAAAGCATCAGAAAATTTAACAAAGTACTATTATTTTCTAAAAATAACTTAACAAATTTAGCACCAACTCCATAGAGGCATTAGAGCAAGAATGGAATTCTACAATTAACACTAAAGATCTGACTAACAATCTGTCAATATCATCAAGATTTGCTGCATGGGGAGGGAAAAGGTCACCCCAAAGAACTACAGAGAAGATGAGGCAGGGAGATGTAACTGCAATAGGACTTTTGGTCAGCATAAAGAAACAGCTCCTCATGGTCCAACATCCCAGCCCCGACGCAGGACTTTGTCTTGTAATCCAACCACAAAGCTTCATCAGTTCTTTGTTATCATAGGTATCCAACTGAGACAGGGGAGGTTTAGGTTAGATATTAGCAGGAAGTTTTTCACACATAGGCTGGTGAAGCACTGGAACAGGTTGCCCAAGGAGGCTGTGGATGCCCCATCCCTGGAGGCATTCAAGGCCAGGCTGGATGTGGCTCTGGGCAGCCTGGTCTGCTGGTTGGTGACCCTGCACATAGCAGGGGGTTGAAACTAGATGATCATTGTGGTCCTTTTCAACCCAGGCCATTCTGTGATTCTGTGATCTAAGAAACAGAATGAAACTGGGAAATAAACAAGTAAATCAACTGTGCTGGCTGTTTAAATTACAGCCATCATCGATCAACAGGCACATGCACTTCTGCTCTGACTGATAGTTTCTGATTGCCTTACAAACCACTCTTATATCCACAAGCAGTAACAAAAAAAAAAAAAGGGAAGAGAGGATTTTGAAGGCAAAAGCCATCTTCCTTTCCCTTATAAAAATATTTTCTCTTGGAATGAAAAGTCATGCTTGCTAGCAAATATTATATTACAGAAATGTATTTGAACAGTACATCAAGGAAAAAAAAAAACATAAAACAAAAATCTTGAATGCCAAGATATGAGAAATATTATGGATGACGTAAAAAAATTAAAATTTCTGCAAAATCATCAGTTTATTTGCCAGTTTTTATCACCAAGCTGTGCAGTACACCATAAAAAGATCGTTCTGTATTTACCTGGTGAACTGGCACACCACTGAAATATTCCTTCAGCACAAGGCTAGCCATCCAAAAATGAGTAATGTTTCTTTCATTCAGCCCCACAGAGGTGTTTTCCAGTAGAGTCCTTGAAGAGACTGAGATGCACACAGGCAATCTGCAATGCCTGTCCTGGGCATCTGACAAAGGAGACATACAGAGCAGCAAGGCGTAGGCACCAGCATTTAGTTCTTCATAAAGGGAAATGTGTCTGTAGCATAAGCCACAGCACTGAGGACAGATGTCAGACAACGTGATACTGAGGTAAAGGAAGTTTGTTATTAGTGAACAATCTGTAGGAGAAGAAAACACTAGTGTTCCTCCATAAATAGATTACAGATCACAGTCCTGATAGCAAAAAAAGATGAAGGAGATAGGAAAGAATTTTCACCTTCCTCGTTTTCCACAGAAAATCCTCTTTCTGGGCTTTTGGGCAAAGGCAACTTGCTGCCACAACACACACACTCAAAAACCTACGAGTTAATAAGAGCAAACTTAGCTTCACCATAAGCAGATGCAACTTAGCATGCCAGGAACCTACTGGGGTTTCAAACTGTTGTAAAAAAAGATAAAAGAAAAGAATGTTCCATGCAGCAGAAGACAAGGAAGACTTACACAATGGAAAATGTGAACCACCTTGTCCACATTGTCACTTTAAAACAAATAAGCTGTTAGCCAATACAAGTTATGACCACACTTCTTCCTCACTTTCAGCAAACAGATATCAGTGCTTCAATAAATGAGATTGATATGCATTAGACTCAGCTTTAGTAGCTGCCTATTTTCACAGAGTTACCAGAGGGAGTAGAAAAACAGAAGTGCAGTGGCAGAAAGTGCAACTCCTTTGAAAAATATCTTGCTAATAAAGGAATCTTTCCTTTTTCTGCTGCTGTTTCAATTAATAATACAGTCATTCAAAAGCTACAGTTGAGTTATTAAATTCATGTTTTCTTGGACAACTAGAATTATGATTAATATTTAGGAGAGTTTTGGTGCAGGAGACTAATTTTCAAGGCCATAATTCAGGGGGTTGAAAAACTGCTGAGGCACATTAAATTGAAAACTCTGCCTGCTGTAGAAACCTGCCTGCTGGCATTTCATGCACATTCATTCACATCCAAACATGTCCAAACACATTCAGTGGCGGTTTGGAGGCCACAGTTTAGCTCTCCACCCATACATCAAGGGAACCTAAACATAAGAAGGGAGCAACATAAAAGCTTTAAAATAAGAAAGCCTGGCCATTAGCATGCTACATCTGATCAAAATAATATTACACAGTAGCCTTCCACTTCTGAAGCTGATCAGAACCTCTATTGTGTTTACCACCTCATGAAACCTGAGAAAGATCATTAGCTTAAGGCATTAAAACAATGGGGAGAAACTCTAGAGGTGGATTCACCTTTTTTAAAGGAAGATGATCGCATTAAATATATGCAAACTGATGAATATAAGCAGTGCCAAATAACTGGGGTGTTTATTGTTACTGTACTTGGACCAAGAGAAAGAATTCAGGACACGTTAAAATACAATAGATCTGCAAATTAACTGCAACAAAATCAAGTGAGTATACCATGACTATCTGAAAGTATGCTTGTAAGAATTACACAGATCATATTTCAGAATGCTCCCACACTCAATAAATAGTACTGAAAGACACTGAATGATAGATGCCCGAGTGCTGCCCTGTGCAGAACTGACTTTTAGGAGCTATTGGGAATAGGTGAACGGTTGGACTGGATGATCTTTTAGGTCTTTTCCAACCTTGGTGATTCTATGATTCTATGATTCTATGATTCTATGATTCTATGACTCCTGTCTGTCAGTCAGTGAAAAAACAAGTACGTTAAATTTTCACTGTGAAAATAATCAGAAAAACTTATCAGTTTCCCCTCTTTCCTTTGTACTCATATATAAGTTTCAGAAAGCAAATCATTAGGTGACATTTCTTTGTAATAATTCCAATTAAAATAAATGATGCTGCTCTTACAGCAGTTTACAACCACTGCATTAGTAATGAATCTGAGGATAAAAAAAATGAAAGCTAAAAAGCACCCCACCTTTACCCAGCAACCAAATAGCAATATGAAAGAAGTCACTTTTCTCTTTCTACACATTAGAGATACAGGAGCACTCTCATATTCTAAATACTACGGGATGTTACTTGATTATAAAACTAAAATCTTCACTGTGCATGCACATGACTCCCCTTGGAAGAAGGAAAAATGCACACCCTGATTCATCAGTTTCTCTTTTCTATCTGTTTCCTTCTTGCACAAAGCAAAAGCCAAGCTCTGTTTGCAGGCTCGGGCTCACGCACTCAGAGGTAATGCTCAAATCACAGCATGCAAGCTCTGTGTTCCACCTGAGGACTATTTGTGGCAGCTGCTAACAGAGATGCCTGCACTCACCGGGAGAGAAGGGGGCATTTCAGGCTGTGAAACTGATTGCACTGGAAGTGTTTGCTAATAGAGATGTCGAGAAATTAAAGGAGTTTCAGTACCTGAGTTAACCAGCTGTTGTTCCATGACGCCACAGCCCAGGACCTCCAGCCATTCTCCTTGGAAGTTGATCTCCATCTCAAAGGAAGGGTGAGTAAATGGGAAGTAGCAGTCTACCCATCTGACTTGAAGTCCTGTAGCAGGTTTAAAAAATAAAAGATGTATGCATAAAAGGCCATCCCTCCAATTACCCGTAAAACTCACGCTTCAACTAACGACACCAATTACAGCAATCCAGAGAAAAAAACTGGCAAACAAACGAATTTACAACACTTGTGCAAGGTGATAAAACTTGTGGGGAAAAAAATGACCACGTCTTTCCTAATATGAAAAACACTTTGTGCAATTCAAGCATCCTTTGAAACCAAATCAATCATTTGTCAAACTCTGGCAACCACCTGGCACAGAATGAAAATGAGCCAAAATCTTTGGAAAGTCAGTGATTTTGTTGTTCTCTGTACCAGCATGCAATTTTTTCTGTGAGGAGAAGGTGCTCAAGTCTTACATTGGCGAGGCAAGAAATTTTTTTCATCAGACACTACTTAAAATACATAGTTATTCTTTCTGCATATGTTTAAATACAAAAATTAAAAACAGATCAATGCACACAAATACACAGACACACATTTACAGCATTATTAAGGTATGCTCTATGCAAACACAGGCAGAGAACTCCAGACCAGGAGCCTTAAACTTGGTGAAGTGCAGGAGCTCCCCATACATCTGAAGTCCACTGAGCAAGGATGAGAATCACCTGATACCGCAGAACGGTGGAGCCAGAAAAGGGCAATTCTGCACGGCTGCCAAACGCAGGGCTGTTGTCAAAGCTCTTATTATAACTGATGGGTTTTAGTTCTTATAATCGTTTACGGAGCATTCTTACCCTGAACAATTTTCTTTAGCCATTAAGTACAAGGAAAAACAGATCTCAGAAACAAGAGACAAAAAACTGGAAGATAACTGAACTGCTCATTTTCCAGGTAATGCCTTAACCCCAAGATCATCCCTCTCTTCAATTAAGCCAAATCCCAATCAGTGTAAGAGTTGTTGACAATTATACAGGCCCACTCTTTAAAACAAGGGGCAGAGACGAGGTTCTTCGGGTGAAAGCGAATATTAGCACCACAGTTTGGTCTGAGGGGCTTTTTTTTGGATCTGTTTCATATAAGGAACTTAAAATGTGCAATTGCATGATTTACCTAGAGAATTTTTCCAAATTAAAACATTTGCTGTAGCCTCAAGAATTAGATTTTCTTTGATCATTTCCAAAATGTTGAATTGGTCTACAGAAACAGTTACAAGAAAAGCAGGTATGTGTAGCCTAAAGTGACAGTCACAAAGTATTTTTCTAGAGGTAATGAACTTCCAAACGGGGAGGCTGAACACATTTGGAAGAATAAATACAGTAAGACTTCCAAATTTTCTTTTCTGTCTTAAAAAACAACATCAGGATTCAGATTTATTTGAGTCTTCTTTGATAATTTTACATGCAGAATTCAGAAAATTGAAAATATTAGCAACTGTACCATTCATAACTGCACTGTGACTTACAGCCATCACTTCACTGCTTTTTTTGTCCATGTAACAATGAAAACGTTGCACAGATGTAAACTGAAGCATATACCACCATATGATACATGGAAAACATTCTTTGAACTTTCCTAACTTTACACAAATGCTTGTAATCCCGGGGCTGTAGAAGCCATCATTCACCGTAAAGCACCGTACACAAAATATTTTCATTTAATTTGCAAAATTTGCAACTGCAGCAAGAATTACATTGAATATTTAAAGAGTTTGATGTTCAGAAACAGCATTCTGAGTGTAGTTTTTTTTTTTAATCTAATTACTTCAAAATAAAGCTCAGGAGAAAAAAAAAAGCATTTCTCTGCTCTTTATTTTTAATTAAAATAAATTTTAAACAAAAGTTTATTTTGAGTATTAAGGCAGATAAGTACTTTTCTTAAGGGACATTTGTTTTCAATGTAAGTAAGCAAAAAAGAAAAAACAAACTGAATGTGGCAAAACAAATTCAAAGGAACAAACAGCTCTCACCATCATTTTGCTCTCTAAATTAACAGTGAAGCCCCATATGATGCAATAATTTTATCCATACATTCGCCAGGACAGCTGGTAATACCTCCTTTTTTTTTTTTTACAGTCCTCTTTGAGAGCCCTGGCTCTGGAAGACTTTCCTGAAGAGCAGGGGGCTCACCACTAACATTGAGCCTCCCCACAGAGCATCACAGAATAAATGCTTACATTTATTACTTAGACACAAAATATTGCCTTGCTGTTCAACATATTCCCAAGGAATACAGGACATTGCTTGCACTCAGCAAATTAAAACACTAAAGGCTTATAAAGGATTACAAAGATTAGGCTTTCTGTAGTACTAGATAATTTACTTGATAAGCCCTGATTTATTTCTTCACATAAAGATAATGGCTATCTTAGAAAAAATGATCTTTAGTAAACATTTTAGGAGGCCAGGAGATGCATATCTGACTTACAAACCCGGAGGGATATTTAAACAGGTTCAGTACAGAATCTAACCAGATTCCAATCACTAGATAAATACTCATCAGTTTAATCAGTTCAAAGATAGATCTACATTAACTTAGTTCACAGCCTCATGTTGTCCATGGGACTCCTTCCAGTGGGCACATATTTGTTAGCAATCTAAGTGCTGCATCTCCAATGAGGAAGGAAAAAATGAATAGTTACTGTAATTGCTGAGTAGTAAGTAAAAAATTAGTCCTGGCTTGCACTTACAACTAATGGTTATTATTAAACTAAGAAAGTATCTGTTAGTGCTAGCCTAATGGAGTCCCCTAGTGAAAAAGTCTTAACCAAAGGCACTAAAAAAGAGAACAACCAACCCACGAAAGCAGGGTATTGCCACTGCATAGTGTAGTATTTTCCCATAGCAAAGAGGAGCTGGCTGCTCACAAACTTATGTTAGCTCGTGTTGTTCAAAAGTCATCAGCCAGACCGTTACGTCATCAATAATTTCTTTCCACAACTCTTTGCATTCACAGATGTCAATGCAAGCTACAGAGATATCAGTGCAACAGAGTGCAAGAGACGAGCAGCGCATTAGACTTAAATGACATTTGGTGGCTGCTTCGTGAGAGCTAAAAATGACAGAACTGTTCATCAAAATATGACATTACTTATCCATTCAACCTTCTGTTACAGATACCTAGGAATTTGTTACATAAAGAAGAAAATAATAACCACAGGAGAAAGAAAACTTCAGTGAGGAAAATCTAATAAAATACTACAAGATGATTTCAACATGTTTAGGGACTGTATGTTGGTTGAACACCCAAAAATCAGTATGATCAGCTTTGAACTCAAATCACTTCACAACTGAACTTGGCCAGGCAACTGACCTTCACTACAGAACGATCTGCTCTCCACAATCTGCACTTCTCAATTCGCCTTATCCCACCCAGCAGGATAAAAGCAACACTCATAAAGGCTGTTCTTTTCACAGAAATTGGATGGATGTCTGAGAACCACTTATCAACTCCCTGGATTTTTTTTTGTTTGTTTGTTTCTTTGTTTAAATTTTAATGGGGATTTGCTCTCTCCTTACGGCCAAACAATTTCCTGGAAACACAGAAACTTCCCTAATATGACAAAAATGAGAGCAACAGCTTGCTAGTAACACTTGTTCATTCCAATACACGTGGAATTCACAGCAAACACTGAAAAGAATACCAAACTGCTAAAGAGCAAAAGTTTAAGCAAAAACAGCAAGAGAACTGGTTTGGAAATAGGTACTCAAAAACTAGTATACTTGAGGAATATAATAAGACACACCTTTAGTTAATAATTGGAACGTAACCTGGACCTTACTGCCTGTAAATAAGGAAAGCTTGTTTGGAGACACCATTGTCAAAAGCAGCCTTGACTACAATGACAGTAAAATCACAAACTTTAAGATCTTAATGGTCAAGAAGAGATCAAGGAGCAAAAAAAGAATATAGAAATAAAAAATAAGAAAAGATGGTGAAATATTAAAACAGCTTGGTTAAACAGTAAGGTATATAGTGCGTCCAAATGCAAAGAAGTAGTATATGAAAGATGGAAAAGAGAAGAGACTTCCAGAAAAGGTAAACCAATATTGCCTGGGAACACACAGATGCTGCTAGGAAGGCAAAAGCCCATCTGGAGCTCCAACTGGCTTGGGGTGTCAAGAATAACAAGGAAGCATCTGTATTTCAGTCAGTAACAAACAAGAAGAAAAGGCTGTGATACTCTACACTTTTTACTTTGGTCTTCACAGGTAAAGTTAGCCTCCAAACCTCTACACCAAGAAGCAGTTACAAAGAAACTGAAGGGGGTTGAGATAGGGTCCAATCACACAAATTAAACATATATATGTTAATGGGACATTATGGGATGTATCAGAGAGCGATGAGGCAAAATTAAAAATATTCTGTAAAGTAAAAAAATGAAAATTTAAAGACAGCTATCAAAAGATAACTTTAATTGTGTGTGTCTCAGGCCACTGGCACTGAACCTATCTTGTACGTCTGGTACCTAGCATGAAGCTTGCTTCTTTGAGTATTACTGTCCTGTTCTTATTGATGGCTCAGAAAATCAAGAAAGTGAAGGAGAGAGAGCTTCACATGTACACAGATGAGGGGAAAAAAGGGACATAATCATATTTCAATCACTATCTATATGTCTTGCTTTTGTGTCTTCAGGAAAATATTGTGTGTATGAAGGCACCTACTTTCAGACTCTAAATCCACAACCATTTGTTTTTAATCTATTTCTAGCTATTATGTGGATGGTAGACAAATAAGTAATAACCAACAGACTTAATGCTTAAAGTGCAGCATCTGTCAACAGCCAGCGAAGGATATCACTACAGTTTCAGATATCACTAATAAAACCTAAAAATTGCCACTTCAACAACATCTTCAGCATCTGAGGTTCATCTAAAAATACAGTTCTTCCTATTACTCACTTTAATCCTAATTTTGTATGCATCAAAAGGCTGCTGGTAAGCAAAATATAACTACAAGGAAAACTGATCTTGGGAACCTAAAACAATTATGTGCAGGTGGGATTAAACAAAACTGGTAGAAGTCTCCCTTGCTGTAAGCTATACTTTAGGATATCAGAAGAATATTCAAAGAGTCACAGACAAGACTTGCTACCATCATCAATCTACTCTTGGAACTACAGCTCTAAATTCAGTGGGCATCTTAAAAGAGCTTTGAAAGCAGCCAGCGTTCTCCATGCATTCTAATACTATTCACTATTTCTTCAACAGAAAAATGAATCAGTTTAGAAGAGCAGCCTCTTTGCCAGGAAATAGCATTTGGGCAGCAATTTTAACTCATGCCATTCATAAATTCAGCAGCTACTGAAACCAAAAGCAGGTATTTCTGAGGAGAAGATATTTCATTCTTACACCCTGAAATTCATTACCCTTCCTCAGTCTATGCTTAGTACCAAACAATTATTTTTCAGCTGACAGCATTTCCATAACAAGGCAGCACGTACACATACATATGTCTCCTGTCAAGCTCCTTGCTGTCACGTGAGAGCTTGTAGATGGATCAGTTGTGTTCCTACCTGTTCTCATACTCGTTATGTTCTTGACTCATTGGCATAACCAAAACTAACTAACTAAAACCTCTTCACTAACACTTGGCTCACAGTTTTGTGTGTGTCAGTCTTTAGGAAAACTAAGAGATGGGTATGCATGGTCTGTTGGGCTGTGTTCAGTAGTTTTATAAGTCACACGTATAAAAGTACTGAAGTCCATGTAAAATACAGACTACAGCTGAAAGGCCAATCGATATCCAGATACTCAGACATTAAAACACTCATTGATGAAACTTTGATAAAACTTTAGATGAAAATGTAAATAAATAATATGAATGAAGCCTCATAAAATTACTACTGTGCTATCATTAAGACAGATGGCTGTTTCAGAATGTCAACATCACCCCTAGGTCTCCTGTTTTCATTATACAGCAAAATCTCTATGGAAAATATGGCAGTCCACAGATATCAGAAGAGCAGGAAAAAAGTGCAAAGAACCTACCATCACCAAAGATGTGAGTCATGAGCTTTGTGAGCACTTGTTTCAGATTGAACTCCACCAGCCTCACTGCCTCCATGGTGTGACATTCTTGTTTGTGCGCAGTGCGATGCCCTTGCTCAAACAACTGGAAGCTTTCACCATCTTTAATATTGGAGAATAACTAGAAAAAAACACAATAGAGTTTGGCATCAATGACCTCTCAAAACAAAAAGAGAAAATGAAGTTTTACTGATTTAAGGGGAATCTTACCTGCCAAGCCTGCACCATGGAAAACAAATGTAAAGAATGATTTTGCACAAACTCTGTTCACTAAACACTCTGACACATAATTATCACAGGAACAGAAATATTCAAGTAAGATTTCTTTTATTGCAATAATATGATTAGCTACAGGAAAAAAATAATTGATGAAGGAAATAGAAAAGTTATCATGCAAAACAAAGCATACTATATAGTATATGTTAAATTTAAACCAGCAACTACAATATGCAATGGCATTAATCAGAACTTCCAACGTTTTTAAAAATTAAATTACTGACCTAAAATAAATACTTCTCTTCCTTTCAACCCCACCTCCCCCCCCAAAAAAAATCGTCTTTTATAAAAATTGTAATCAAACTAACTTCCAAAAACATATTTATAGTTTAATGGGACCAGAAGCTGCCAATATTTGATTACCCTTCAGTACAGTTTATTTGCAGAAGGACTACCATCTTCCTGCATTTTCCCACATATGGCACCTGCCATGCAGGAATTTTGCTGACAGGGCACTGAAGGATTCATGGTTTTGCTCTGAGGTTTCCAAATTACAAAGCACATGGGCTGGTGATCCTCCTTATTGGAGATGGACCAACTTGTCCTTCATGCAAAGGCTGCTCCCCACTACATCTGCTGCAAGATGAAGACTTCTGATTTCCTGTACAACCTCATTCATTTCTGTACAGGAAGTCCCAGCCAGATACACACTGGTCATTCAAAATGCTCTCAAAGAGACCAGTAAAACACTCTCACTAAGTCACATCCTCAGACATTCTGTGCCTCACTGAGACAAGCAGACAGTTCTACATAGCAGAGGATTTTGTTGGAAATCCTTACAGCTACATAGCTCTTAATTCTGGAGAGTAGGGAAATCTAATTGTGAAAGTGCCTCCAGTGTCCTTTTCTACCCCTCCTCATTCACCTTCCACATTAAATCTATCACACATAGAAAGGAAAAAAAAATAACAAATACACATATTGGTATTTTCTGCACATTGCACCTGCAAGCATAACTAGCTCTTATTCAAGAGTTGCCATGAACTGCATCTTAACAATCCATGGATGTGCACAGAAGTTTTAGTTGCAGCTTGACTTCTTCAGTGCATGAAATGCTTATAAAAAGTACAAATGAACCTCTAGTAGTTTACAAATGCTGGCCGCAATTAAATGACTGATTTATAGTACATTCTACACACACAACGCATGCAGAAGGAGCTTGAGCACAGTACAGAAACTAGCAGCCAAATGGATACAGGGATTGAAAAAAAAAATCAACACAACCCATCAGCAGCATTTAACTTTGTACTGCTGGTCAGGAGAATCGACTGGCAGATTGAGAAAACACTTTCAATTTAATCTCCTTAGCGCACTGCAGAAAAATGCAAATTATGAAGCAAACAGAAAAATACATACTGAAACAATTAGTCACCAGTCTAACAATAATGTCTTTACTAATCAAAAGGCCACAGCCTGACAAAACTAGGCATTACGCTGTTAAATGGAACACTCTCTATTCAAGTGCTCACCTGAAAGATTAAGGCCTCTTCCTCCATACTGGCACTACTTCTACACATTTGCAAGATGCAAATGACACCTACGCTACAATTAATTTACTATCAGCAAGGCAGACTGACCATCAACCATCTGGCTTTGAACACAAGAAGTTATTCTCAAAAGTCTGTCGTAGCCCAAGTAATGGATTTGTCGTAAGCTTCTGTAGTAGCCAATGGAAAGAAACTGGCTCCCTTGTGGCCATTTGGCATAGTCATGTTGGGCTCCTGCTCTGAGCTCCAAACTATAGGCAGCTTTTTTCTTTTTCTTTTTTTCATATGGATTAAAGAGACTATCCTCAATAAACTCTGGAGAACAGGATGTTAGAAGTTGCAAAGTTAGCTCAATAATCTGGGGGGTTGGACTCGATGATCTCTGGAGGTCCCTTCCAACCCCTACAATTCTGTGATTCTGTGATTAAATGCTGCAAGGAGAGATGTCCTGGCACATAGATAGGAGCAGGGGTACTTGGGGCATCAGTATCAAACCATGTCAGGTCCCACAGGCTATGGAAGCACAGCCCTTGTGGAGCTGGTCACCTATGGGTTGCAGTAACAAAAGGCCACCTTCCAGCCAGGTGCCAGGCCTCACTGCAGTGTTGTCCATAAAGGCACTGTCAATCCCTCAAGTTGACAGAGTGATATCGAGGAAAGAATGACACCTTATGGCTGTTTTACTATTTATTCCATTCACAGATCTCACTACGTCAAGACACACAGTTTAAACCTGGTAGACCAGTTTCACCGTTATGATCACACTCCTACGTTTCTATATGCATAAAGCCAGGAAGGTCAAAGTTTAAACAAATTATTATGTACAACTGCTCCTTTTGGATGGCAGTTCTTCCCAAGTTTTCCACAAATGGAAAAAAAAATCTATTAATCTTGGGGGGGAAAAGAAAGGCACACTGAAGATTTCACTACTTCACATACATTTATTCCGCAGGAAATACAGTATTCTACTGAATTCAATATGATCAGTTATTATCACAACCAGAAGAGAACTTTCATGTAAACATCCAGTAAGTACCTATATTTCTTTCTGTCTATTGCAAGGACAAGTTCTTTCTTTAAGTAAGTGCTCAAAAAATGAGTATTGTGTCTTCATGCAGAAGTAAAAAAAAAAAAAGAGAAAAAAAATAGTTACCAGTATAATAGCTATAGGATAATAATAGTATAGAATAATAACAGTTACCAGTAGTTTATCACCATATCTGCCTGATGCTGCATTACAAAGAAGGCAGCACAAAAGAATCAAAGTGACCTTACCATCTGGCATGAACTTTGTTCTTACTCACACCAGGACAGCTCATAATAAGAATAAAATAAAATTTAGTAACATGTAGAGCCTGGAACAAAGAAAAATGAAGCCATGCTCCTTTGTAAGTACTTCACTGTATTTCTCAGCATGGCATGGAGTACAGAAGTCACACGTATGATTTCAACAAAGACCCAAAGACCCAAAGCATTTCTCCAGTCACTCAGCAGCCTTCAAATCTCACACCACCTCACTATCTGTACATTTAGGGTTCAGGAAAAGAATAATGTCCTCCTTACAGGAAGCTGGCACTTACATTAGGTTTCAGATCCAGAAGGTCTGTGACTACACTTTGGCTTTAAACAATGAAGTTGTTTATTACTCCTACCAGCCATGCATGCTCCAGTATTAAGATAATGAATACATCATGCTCACATACTTACCTCTACGAACAAAGCTGCATTGATGACATGAGGATCTGTATGTGGCAACAGTCCTCCTTGCCAAACCTAATAAAATATGACTCTCTGGTCCTGATGAATATCTCTACAAATAAGCAAATGGCTTCAGTCTAAATCCACTTAGGAATAGCAAACCATTACCACAACATCTTTAATGTGCTGTAACATTCAGCTGAAGGATTAGGAACGATGAAGATGATGCCATCTGAAGATACTACATCAAAAAGAAAACTTATTGCCAGCTCCAGTCAGTCTCCAATACAATGAAATGCATAAATCTGCACCCCAATCCAGATAGATAGCTTCCTGTGTCAAAGAGAGATGCAGGCCACAGGTGCACAATAGGATACTCTTTGCAACAAAGCACTGATTTGGGGAGAGAATGGTGAAAATCACTTCGAGCCACAAGCCTGCAGAGTGGCCTCCTTAATTTCAGGATCCTTCAGTTTTCAGTCCTCCAATTATGTGACATGTTTCAGTGAGACTCCCAGGTCCATAAGCCGATGCATGCAACCCTCTTGAGCACCCACGTCTGGATGTGTTTAAGATAGGGGCCCAGCAACTGCTGGCACACAATATTTGCACCAGGAATTGTCACAAGCATGGATTCATGCAGGGACACACCTTGGAAATGCCCATCCTGACATGAATTTTGTCACCTATTGAAGAGATGAATGGAACTCCACCTTATAACAGCATCATCTCAAAGAAGCCAGGAAATGTAAAATTCCCTCTGATTCACAAATTCTATTACACAATGGGAGGCAAATGGCCTTCCTCAAAGAGACTAACACACCAACCCAAGTCCCTGCCATCTGGCAATGGTTACCAACTCCTCACACAGTCCTTAGCCTTGCCAGCTGATTCACTGAGAAGCATTGTCCAAATCCCTACACAGTGGGTTGATCCCTGGAACACAGTAAATTTATTTGAATTCCTTTGCGTGTGAGGAGAAAAAAAAAGGGCAGGTTTCATTTGATGAAACGCCACAGCAGAAACACAGTGTCCAGAGCTGCAGTAACATTACAGAAAAGACAAACCAAAAGATACTGTCATGTCAGTCTTGTCAGTGAAAAGCAAAACCTGGCATGGCAAGCAATGATTAAATAATGAACTAAACAAACAAACAAACAAACAAGCAAATAAAAGACAAAGAAAAAAGAGGACAAGATGTACTTTGATCAGCTATTCACACCTACCCCAAAGCATCTCTCTTTGTGGAGAATATTGTGAGCCTACAACATTGGTAAGCATGTTCCATTTATTATCTTCCTGTTGCAATAATCTTACTTAGCCTAACTTTCCTGGATATTTCTTAATGGTAACATTTGTATGTTCATTGATTATATACGCCTTAACAAAAAATGTTTTTGGAGGAAATAGCAAAATTTCAATAAAGAATAAATATATATCCACACTTCTTTTTCCTAGTTTCCCTACTGATAGCTTTCAGATGCTAGCATGATCAGATAAACTGATGAGAACATTATTTTCCCATCTGAACAATCTGATATTGGCCTCCATTGGAATGAACTTAATAAATTAGAATAGCAATTCTTAAGTTTTCACATCTGTTCCCATGAAAATTTATGTATAATTCAATATAGACTATAAAATACCTTATAAAGTCTCCTTCCAACGTGTAAACAATACTTGTTCTCAGTTGCACGTTTTGTGGCTGCCATTGGGTTTATATTGGCTCCCTCTGGTGGTGAATATGCGTGAAGTGTAATTTAGTTGAGGTTTTTTCTTCCTTTCCATAAACTGTGTAAGTAAAGAATTGCACCCAAGACCACTGCATAGCACAGAAATCATTTCATTTCAGTTCCATGGAGGAAATTCCAACAAGTCAAATCTGCAGAAGTACCAATATTTTCAATCCAAAGGATTTTTAAAAACAAGTTGTATACCATCAAAGGAGAAAAATCTATGTGCCCTTTAAGAGGATAAATACAGACCTGGCCTTGGTGTTGATTTTCACTTCAATACCAATAAGAGTTATATCAGAAGCTTCAAAGGCAGAAGTTTTTAACCCAATCCTGACTACAGAACTTGAAAAGAAGAGATGCTTCTACATCTTCCTTATCCTGCCTCAAATTTCAGCTGTTCAGGATGAACTGACCTTTTTTGTCACTCCCAATCTGAGATGAGATGGCAAATTCCTCTCAATTCAAACTCCTCAAAAATCATTCTAGATTTTGAGTTCTTTCACCACTTCTCTCTTTCCCATCCTCTCCCATTCTGTGGTTGCTTCCATTGATGAAAAAACGAATGATACATGTACACACATCAAAAGTACAAAGTAGAGCAGTAAACCAACCATAGCACATAGAATGAAATTCACCTAGGGCTTACAGCTAGGAGCTAGCAGTTTTTTTCCTCTAGCTGCCTATCTTCTTATACCCAGTACTGTGAAAATTTCCTCACTAGAGACTGCAAGTGTGGTTATGAATGAGAAGACTGAGATCAAGGTAGCAGGTCCTGACATTCACGTGTTTCTGTTCAGTACGTTATAATTCAAACATGAGTATAAATAACTGAATATAAAAATAGAATAATATTTCTCTCGTGTAGTGTTACCTGCATTTAATCGTAGTTGGTTTGTTTTCCACTCAGACAGTTCCCTTTAGAATTATTTAAATTTTTGCATTATTTTGAACAGGCAACAAGAATATAAAACACAGAACCAATCTCCAGTGAAATTTCAGAATTACACATTCATTTTTTTCCAGAAGGCTCTTGGGATGATGCCTGTAAGAAGTTTTACATATTGCAAAGCTCTACCACTATTCAGTCTGCAACTGAAGCAAAAGGGATGCTTTAGATCATCCTCGAGTTTAGAATTAATGCCTGTTGCCCAACAAACAAAAAATGTACACGTTGTGCTCCATGCCACACTTCTTTTTTTATTCTTAGAAAGTTGGCAGGAAGGACTTCCACTCTTGAGAGGCAGACACACTCTCCACTTCTAACACACAGTTAACTTTGAATTCATCAACTACTAACATTCTCCAATAACATCTCAATCATTCTCTTGGGGGAAAAAAAAAAAAAAGAGAAGGAGAAACAATCTATAATGCAATGAATCAGATAGTTATACATCCTGTATTACTAACTGACTAGATAATGTCAGAGAGTGTTTCTGTAAATTTCTTCCCACTTATTAAATCCTACTATTATTCCTGTTATTAAATTTGTGCAAGAAGCAGAAATATTCTTTCCTGAGGGCCAGAGTTTCTTAAGAAGCACATTGTTTCACAATAATCTCAATAATTATATCAACCATGTCAACATTTGTAGAAATTCCAAGTGTAGATGTTACAATTTTGCAACAGATAAGATCTGGATGTTTGAACTCCTGCTGAAGTGAAAAACATGGCACGAACATAAAATATTTAAAACCCAGCATTTTCATATCCATTTTACCATCATATATATCCTTGCAGGCCTATGAGAAAGAACAGCAAACAAATTTTGGATAAAACTGCAAAATGTCAATTTCCCAGTGACCAAAGAAGTGCTCACAAGCTGTTTTCAATATCATACAGTGCCCGAGGCATCTCCAGATACAGGTAAGTTTTTCAAGGCACAAAGGGAAGTGGCGGCATGGGGTGGGAAACACCAGTGAAGACAGCGTGAACCTTTCCCACCAGCAAGGAAAGCAGTGCACTGTGATTTCCCTAGTTTTCCTTCAAGCATCCAAACCCATGAGGCCTCCCTGCCAAGCTCCTGTCACCCACTGGCAATCACATTAAGAACAGTCAACATCTCAGTATTAGAATAAGCTGGTTTTAGCTATATAAATGAGAATTTGGCATTGCTACAAGCATACAGAAACTATATGAATCAATTACTGTTTGGAAAACAAACTGGCTTATATACAGCACTCATCAATGATACCACAGAATGCTTAATGACAGTCATGCATCTGCAGAACATGAAAGTTGTGCCAATAAAACGCACAAACTTAGAAGGCTTGGACATCTACCTAGCACTCTTTAGCTCATGTCTCTGGACTCCTTTAGTTTACTGTGTATGTACTGCAAACCTATAACTGCTGGCTGCAATACATGAATTCTTCAGAACAGTTTTAGGATCAAATAAAGGACGGAACAATTCATTACAAAAAACCAATTCATTTACAGAAGCTTGGAGCTATTAAAAGAAAATAGAATAAGAATAAAGAAAAAGAATAAAGAATAAAAACTTCATTCTGGATATAGCTACAACAGCTCACATCCACAAGTCCTTCAAGTATTAATACGACAAAGTCTGAGATGAAATGACTTTACTGGAAGGGACTTTTGATAGAACGACAATTGAAATGTGCACATTGTTAGCTGAGCAAGCTTTCTGCTTTCAGATACTGTTTTATTTTGTTAGCTTTCAATAATATCATCCTGGCTTTCCATATTTTTCTGAGGAAGCTCACACAGTTGTTATCAAATTCCACTTTTTCACCTATATTTTTCCCAAATCAGAAGTATTACTACATGACCAATCACTTGATTCTTATCAACTGCGCTGTAACTTGTTTACGTGCATGCACTTTCCTCATAGCAAATACACGATCAGGCAACTTACCCCAAATCTCTTTCAGTTCAACTAAAGAATTCCTACCTCGTGACAGGAGAAGAGCCGAACTCCTTCCATCTGATGAAAGACTGGGTAGTGGGTGCTGTCAATTGTATCACGGCGGTAAACATCTCCCACCGCCAGAAAGGCATCTAGACCAGAGTGTATCAAGTCCCACTGGTGAGCCGATGTGTGTGCTCTTAACATGTGACTGCGATTCAAGTAATAGTTATCCTCCTTTCTTCTGCTGACATGGTCCCGTGGGACAAGTAACTTATCAAAATTCTGCTGCACTGTAACCACTGGAGAAAGACCATCATAGACAGAAAAGAGCGGATTCCCACGGCGTCCTGTGTATTGCTTGTAAAAGTGCTCCTTCACCTGCTCCTTGATTAGCCACAAAGGGTGATGCTTTTTGTTATGCAAGTTCTTCCCCACTTTGGAAAGAATCTTCTCTGTGACATTGCTGTAGTCATCCTGAGGGTAAGATTTACCAAACAGTTCCACAGTATTTGAGCAGGGTACGCTGGCAGCAAAATCTGAAGGTACAGACTGCCTTGAATGGGTGGGAATTCCTCTTACTTTTATTTTTGGTGGTAATGTCGTTTTAGAATACTTGGCTACTCTCATGAATTTCCAGAGCATTGCCATTGCAAACTCTCTTATAACCTAAAAGAGAAGAAAAAAATCAGAACAAAATTAAAATTCATATCTCCTGTCTTGTTGCAGAAACCGCTAGCACCTCACAGATAAGTGAAATCCAAATGTCTGACTAATATGACGAAGTTCCCATTACAGACTACTGTTTTGACTTCGGAGGAGAAATAACCTTATGATGAAATTTCAGGTAGGATATCTTGTTCAATTATCAGTCTTTTGCACCACTGCAACAGCATTAATGACACTAGACCTAGTCTTAATCTCATTCCAAACACTGTAACACTTTACAAGTGAGGAAACATTGCATTAAAAAGTTTCTTTTTCATTCTGTTAAAATATTAGGCAATAACAGACTACCAAACATGAGAAGCTCAGAAATGTTGCAACACTGTTCAGTAGATAGAGACATGCTTATGAAAAAAGCCCTGGCATTAACATATTGTATTGTTTTTATTGCTTACACCATTGTACTGGATGAAGGCTTGATAGTTATCAGGAAGGTCAATGAAATGATACGATATGATATGATATGATATGTGTCTATCTACCAAAGTACCATCTTTACACATCCTCTCTGTTTAGAAACAGGCTGTCTTTACACTTCATGCATAAACAAGAATGACTTCATAGTGTTTGAAGAGATAATTCTGTAAACAAAGAGGATTGCAATGCCTTCAGGTGCACAAAACGTGTAAGCCCATTCTGAGATGTAAAATCACTTGAAGATCAATAGTTGGGCTTCACAAATATTGGCAGAGATTCCAGTAAAATACTTAAGCATTACAAACTGCATATTGCAAAATGGGAAAACAGAGGCATTAGAAGTGACAGGGGCAAGGCACCTGCTCCAAACAACAAATTAATCTGTTTCTCAGGGATTCCAGGGCCACAGATTTCTGGGCCAAAGAATTTCCCGAGAAAGTTTTCTTAAAGAAACTGGGAAAGAAAGGACACAAGAATTGAATAAACAGTGATATTCAAGGGATAGCTTTTCATCTTTACAATAGCATTACAGAACACACAAGCTAAGACTGTTTTTTATGCTCTTAAGCTGCAATAACATGGATTAGAACGGGAATGTTTTAGAATACACAGCCTGTCAAAATCAGGTAACAGCTCTGTTTATATCTAGTTTCCATTCCTCTGGTCTGTATGATCTCTACAGATTTATTTTCTGAAGCAATTTTAATTCAATACGTCCATATAAAGACAAGCTAGATAGTCATGGCACAGTAAGATAACTCACTTCAGTTCTTGGCCACTTCTGTTAAGGTTCTCCCATGGATCAATTCACACGCACACTCAACAGAAAGCCCTCTGACACAGACTAAGCGATGGACAGCATTATGTTTCGAAAAGAGAGGCTCCATTTTCCCCAAACATACGTTCTCCTTCATGGAAAGCGAGTTCTCATTTTCAAACAGCTGCTTGAAATATCCAGTTCTAGTCAGATAATGTATTCAGCTTCCCTTAAGTAAATATCACCATCTGCCCATACATTTATTTCTCTAAAAAATTCAATTCAAAACTTACACATAACTGTAATATAAGAACTCTCATGACTTTATCATGAATCTCGTGATGTTTGCTTCTTTCCTAAATGCCATTCCTTTGAGAATCACAAGTTTAACATTCACATAAACAGATCTTCTCAGGATTACAGCATTATGGAAAAAAAAAACAGAGCATAACAAGTGCTTGAAAAAAATAATAAAAGGGGTATTTGTTTGCTGTTTTTTTTTTTTTTTTTAGATGCATGACTTCTAAGGGAGACTCTTAACATTTTCATTTGCTATTCAGCCTCTGATAATTCCGAAATGTTAATTTTTCAGATCGTGTGATACATTTTTGTCACAATTATACATGGGGAGGAGAAGTGATTAGGTTACTTCAGAGTTATTATCCTAACGTTATGCTTATGCCTGAACTGCCTTACCGTCTGCTCTTGTCCTAACCTAAAGAAAATCTACAGTAAAAAAAAAAAAGACAAACTCAACATTTCTCAATGAGTTACAGAGTCATCCAGTGTCCAAGTACTGAAAACAGCAAACAGAAAAGGAAAAACTGGTGCAGAATCACACAACAGTGCCACAAACACTGAAGTTCTTCACTGGCACACTCTTCTGCTTCCCTCTGTGACCACAGAAACGTACAAGTCATTTCCAGGATCAAAGCACAAAAATAAGTACTGAACTTCCTTTAACTCAACTGATGACAAATTACACTTATGGGGAAAAACAAGTCACAAAGAAGGAAGGGAAAAAAGCAAGAAAATCTGACACCAACATGATATTTAACAGGCTGAAGAGCCACAATAGAAAATAAAGGTCCCTTTCACCTTTCTCGTAAAAATAAATAACCGATGTTAAATGTAAGTTAATTATTTCTGCTCATTATAATGAATACACAATTATGTCTAGTAGACTTCAAACTGCAGGTGTGAAAAATACGTTCTTTTCTTTCTTCATTTCCACCACGTTTATTAGTCGGAAGTAACAAGGAAGTAATTTCTGTGCATGCTGACAAGTCCTGAATGCCACAACATAGACTGCTAGTCAGCTAAGCAGCAGCAGTACTGCAGCTGACAACAAATACAGAAATAGGAAATAAACACTCAACAACCACCACTGACATCTGTGACCTAAAGATGGCACGGTACTCCATCAGGGTCACCAAAGGGATCATGAGTTCAGGGTGTGACAGTGGCTTTTATACAGGTGGGAGCCGAGGCACGTTTCTGTAAAACAGCTCCTGGGGCTTCCTGTAGCACTGTAGATGGACGTGCAATGGATAGGCCCACCATCTCCTGTCCCTTGGTTCCTTACCTTGCCACTGCCACATTCCTGACTGTCTAACCAGCTTTTCTGAGGAGGGTGTGGTAAAGGCCACAGGCTTGTCCCTCTGTCTCTACCTCCATGCCAATAAGTCTCACACAGTGGCTGCAGCTAGGATTTTTCTGTAGGTTAATACTGCATGCAGTGTTTTGTCAGTGCACTGAAAACATGCCCACATGTGGGTACAGGTTTTTAATATCAGCTTTGAAGCAAACCAAGGAGCAGAAACTGGGACTCATGCTACCCAGGGATGAAGGCCTCAGCACAACCCTGTCCATTCCGTGCACAGGCCAGGCACACGTGTAATGGCGCAGGGCCCAACAGCAGGCCCTACTACAGCCCCGTGCCATTTCTGAAGCAGTTATTAGCAGAGAGCTCCTTTATCTCTCACAGAAAGCCAACCATCTCTATGCAGGAGCAGAATGGCCTTCGCATAGCACAACTACATTGTAGTCAAGAGCTCAGCAGCACAGAAACGGCAGAACAAAGTACCAGTAAAAATCATGATTTTGGAGCACATTCAAAAGGCAGGAGGATTAGATGAGGAATCACACTGCTATAATGTAAACCACAGAATAGTTTGGGTTGAAAGGGATCTTAAAGAATATCCAGTTCCAATCTCCCTGCTGGGGGCAGGGCTTTTACTCACCAGATCAGGCTGCCCAGAGCCCCATCCAACTTGGCCTTGAACAGCTTCTCTGGGCAGGCTGTGCCAATGCCTCACCTCCCTCCGAGCTAAGAACTTTACTAACATCTCACCTAAAAGCTCCATTCTGTTAGTTAAGGCATGTCTTTTCATGTTTAAATCCAGGTTTCCGTGTCACAGTGCAGCAGGGATTAAGACAGCATTATCACAGATGCACTGGAATTTGTCACAAGTGCCCTCAACTCCACTGAGTTTTAGGGAAGAATCATATACTCAGCAAAAGTCCCCTGTATTAAAAAAGGAGGAAAAAAGAGGGAAAGATTAGCATCTCATGATGCAAAGAAAAAGCCCTGTGGACCAGCACTGTTTTAATCAATCATATCTTCCAGGACAGTGAATGATATAAATGTTCTTTTTCATGCAAAGTATACCCCATCAAGGAAGCAAACAAGCCTGGTTTCAGTGCCATTTACTAGGTGTTTAGACCTGTAAACCAAGAGCATCCTCACTCTTACTGACCATTTCACTGTATGCCCTGCTGTGTTTTTTTTTTACTGCTTATGGCTGCAGAAATACAGATGGGCTACAGCATACAGCAACTGAAGTATCTAACGGGTTTGAAACCAAAATTCTACAAAGAGTCTGTCTCCTATCCAGGAATAGCTAATTAATGCAAGAGTCTGAAGTGCCATGGAAAACGTTAGAAAGTTGGGCTGCCACCATTTTGTGATGTGACAGCTTTTATCTACCGTATGTGTGGGGAGGGGAGTTCAACCAACATAGCATATGTTAAGACAAAAATTATAAGCATATGCCAGGCTGCTAAAATTGGACATTTACCAGTCTACTTAGCAATTTAGCTAAGCACTGAATTTTAGTTTTGAAAACTATGTAGGCATACAGCAGCAAATATAATTGTATTGCCATGATCATATCTACATTGCACAGAATAGAGCAGAAATTATTTCATCTGCAATAGCAATAATGAACTCAGACTTTTTTAAAACTCATTTTAAAATTCAGCTATATTGTTGCACACTACAATGGACTTCCCCTCTTATTGAATATGCTGAATTCATATAACAAAGACCTCTGAAATAGCCTGGCAGATGATTTAGAATGAATTCATTTTAGAATACGACCTCCCAAGTGCAGAATGTTTTCAAATGTCACCAACGATAGCTGAACATTCAGCGAAACAAAACACTGCATACACTACAAATTACCAGGCAAGAAGCAAGATAATGTAGCCTGTAAGTATCAGGCTCTCACTTTTTTCATGTACTTAGTGTTCATACAGTTAATAATCCATTTGCAAGCTCCAAGAAACATGGAGAGTAATTCATTTTTTTGTTATTGTTCCTAACAGAAACAAAAATGTGTCACAGGCTGGCTTCCTGTCTGCTCTCTAACAGTGATCCATTAATCACAATGATGCCTTTGGCAACATCTTGAGGTTTGCAATATTGGGAGAAAATTGAAAACATTTTGTGGCATAAGAGAAGACCATGTTTTCTCTCAGTATTACA